AAACATAGTGTGATGCGTTGTGATCGAGCCGGCTCCTTTCCATTGAAAATGAAGTACCTGAAACCAAAACTAACAACCGTAAGCACGAAGCTTAGTGAGTTACCTAGAGCATACTCCACACAATCCTCGTAACCACATAATCCACATTAGGTATAACAGCTACATAAACCATATCAAACAGATAATCATATCAATCACATAATCATGCATATACACATATACGGATGACATGGGCTCCCCCCCAAGGTCTTACTCCAGGATGCCATGGGCTCCCCCCTTGGTCTTACACCTAAGTGCCACTGGCTCCCCCATGGTCTTTAATAGGGAAGCCATGGGCTCTCCAAATGGTCTTACACCTGGTGCCATGGGCTCCCCATGGTCTTTAATAGGAAAGCCATGGGCTCTTCCACATGGTCTTAGATCCAAGTGCCATGGGCTCCCCCCATGGTATTTAATAGGAAATTCATGGACTCCCCCACATGGTCTTACATCCAAGTACCATAGGCTCCCCCATGGTCTTTCATGCAAATATCGTATAAACAAATAACATAACACAAAACATATAACCCACTAGCATACCACATATCATCACAACTAGTGTACCACATAACATAAAATGGGCCAACTTTGCTGCCTTAGACCCATTACTATGGTGAGGAGAGTCACCTAGCACTGCTGAAGTCCCACAGACTCAATCCCACACTGCTGAAGTCCCTCAGACTCAACCCCCGCAGCTGGATGACAGATTCCCGAACTGTCAACATCAAACAATACCCAATTAATAATCGGGCTCCACTACATAACCATAAGTACCTACTCTAGATAATGACTACATTACCCCGAAGCTCGGCTTATTCAAGCCCAAGACCCAATCCATAGGCCCAAAGTCAACTAGGAATCAAAGCCCAACATATGGCCCAATTTTCTAAATTGTGCCTAAGCTTTACATGGTCTTATTCTAAGGCCCAACATCATATAATAATTAAGGCCCAAACTATGGACCATCTATGACCCAATTTTCCAAATTGAGCCCAAATCCCGTACATGGACCTTACCCCAATGCTCATTAATTATTCTGGTCCATTTGCTTGATCTTGGATGGCCCATTTAATATCCCAATCATCAAGGCCCAAAATAAAGGCCCAACAATAAACCCAAGTGAAATTAGGGTTTCGTATAAAATGACGATTAGGGTTAAGTGTTTCTCACTTAACCCATTAATGACTTAATCCTCTAAGGAGTTAATCCATTAAGTCCAATATTGCTTATATTCATTTTTGCTAATTATTATTATTTAATATCTCAAGTTATTAAATAATTCCCGTGTGTCCTGATTTATTCCTCAAATTAGGGTTTTATTGGTATTAGGGTTTTCCAATCGAAATACTAGCCCATTTATCAATTTGTTGGGCTTTTAGGTCAATTAGGGCTTTACTTGGCCTATTAGGCCCACTTGAAAATCATTAAGCCCATTATTTACATGCTTGGGCTTTTATCTCCATTAAGCTTCATTGGGTCCATTAGCGCTTACAAGGCCCATTAGGGTTTCAAGCACCCTAAACGAATCAACATCAACGAGGGAAGCATACCGCCACCCAACAAGGCGGCCAGTGGCGGCAGCCACCACCCGACGGTGGTGGTTTTTTTTCTGTTTTCTTTTCATTACTCTTCTTTTTTTATTACATTTTGCAATGCTAAAACGCCAAATAATCATACACACATACTAATACAAACACATAAACACTACAACCTAGTGGCGGTATGCGGCGGCACGTCGTGGTGACTTTGATCTTCGATCCATACATCAAAAAAGGACTCCGAATATCGATCCAAATGAACCCGAAAGCCCACAGGCACCTGATACGGTGGCTAACCATGGCGGACTGGCGGCAGCAGGCGGTGGGGATGAGTTTCCCTCCGATTCTTGAGCAAGCAAAGACCTTCACAACATTATTCTTACAAGATATGGTCGTATACACATCAATTCATGCACACAGCCACCTCCACATAGAGGCTGGTGGTGGCAGAAAGAGATAACATGGTGGCAGCCACCATGGTTGGCAGCCATGTTGGTTTTTCCTTGTGTTTTTTGGCCAATCAAGCTCCCACAAGCACTTCATGGGTCCAACAACGTTACTCATTTTATTCTAGCCTTGAAACAACAACTCTCAACCACCTGTTAGGCATCTGGGGAGGTTGGAATGAGTAAAAACGGCAGCCATGGGGCCATCGGCGTAAACCACTAACGAATGCGACATCATTCCGCTGAAAAAAGAGAAGGGGAAGAGAGAGAGAGAGAGAGAGAGAGAGAGAGAGAGAGAGATACGAAATATGGCCTTACCCAAGAACTTATAACCGCACACGAACCCACAATAATGAACTCGCTCTATTCGTCGACCCCGACATCGTCTCTTTTGTTCCCGGTGCCAACGGTGGCGAAACTGTAGATGTGGTGATTGGCGACGAGCAGCGGCGGACATCAGTGCTCCCAAGATAGTGGCGGCTGCAGAATGACATTTCTAGGGTTAGGTTTCCAGACTTCTTCTGTTGAAGCAGGAATGAAGGGAGTTCCGGGTATGAACCTGTGTTCTTCACAAACTTCCACCCACTTTTACAAGTTTGGCCCTTACTCCACCAATACTTTTCAATATGACTCCAATAGTTACCATTCAACCCCTCTTTTCAAGATCTTTTGCAAAACTGATCCAGAATTTACCTTTTTAATTCTCAATTCTCAATTATGGCATATTAATCCTTCCCTTCTCTTTTTCTTTCAAATTAAGTTCCAATAATTCCCACGGAGCCCCTATCGTCATAAATAATTATAAAATGAGTCTGAAAGTTATACTCATAACCATCTAGTTCTAAATTATGTCAATTAGCTCTTTGAGACTATCATTTGATATATAATTATTTACTTTAGGGCTACCATTCGTTCATTAATTTATTTATTTATCTAATAAATAAACAGGGTGTTACAAATTACAACTTACAAATACTAGAAATAATGTTTCCAAATGATTGCTAATCAAACCCTTGCAAAAACCTTTGAAATCCCCTCACAAAAATGTGCCCTGATATCTTGTGTGTATGTGAAAATGACCCTTAACCCGTAATACGAAAGATAGGAGAAACTGCCAAAGGTTGGTTTCTAGGTCGAACACAGCCCGTGTTGGACATAGAGTAAAGCTGACACGGCCCATATTCAGCATGGTCGACAACTCTTTTTTTTTGGTCAACACGGCCTGTGTTGATTTTACAGTGTAAATCCATCACTGCCTGTATACCTCTCTGACTCCACTTCCAAACTTGATTTTTCCAACTTTTTCGTTCTTCGCCAAATCATCCCGAAATCCTCACCAATGCTTCCCGGCACCTCCCAAAGCGCGTTCCAACCTCATGTTTACCTGAAAAAGACATGAAAATGTGCAAATAAGGTTGTTATAGAGACTAACATGAAATATGATGAAATGCAAGACAAATGAAGGACAATTACGCTAAATAGATGCATGAAATAGGACTAAAAGGTGTGCAAAAAGGTGAACAAATTGCACGTAACAATTCTCCCCAAGCCTAGACCTTTCTTGTCCCCAAGAAAGAACAAGAATCAGATAAAACAGGATGATTTCTAGATGGAAAAAAGAAACATAGAGCAAAAAGGGATAGAAAGATCCTAAAGGCTAGGTATGAATGCATGCAATGAAAACCATAAGAAAAAAAATATACAAAAGCACTAAAGAAGCAAAATGTACCAAAAAGGAAGTTTAAGACATAAGTAAATCATCTATATAAGTATGATCAGGCTTTACATCAATGTTGCTCCAATCATTAATACCTAGGCAACCATCCTGCTTCCTTCCACATATCAGAGACTCCCAAAGTGAGGAATACCCGAAACAATGTAATCTAATAACCCAAACATAGTTTTATTTAGATTTCATACCTTATTTAGCTTTATAGGTGAAAATAACAGAGTCTGGATCTCATGTCCTTAAGACTAGATGGTCAAGAATCAGAATCGACACATCTATAAGAACCCGTTACGGCGAATCAACTTTTGCTGAAACAGTGAGCCTACCTGAAGGGGCCCAGCTCCTATGCTTTCACTTTTTTGAGAGCCACAAGTATCATATAACACATTTCTTCATTCACCATATTTGACTTTGAGGCGACTTTTTATTTTTGATTGACTTGGATTTGTATCTTCGTTTTGAGCTTGAATTCTTCAACCAGCTTGTGAATTTCTGATAATTTCTTCATTTTGGCACTTGAAATTATGATTTGGGTACTGGATATAACAGTTGTACCCTTCCTTCTTTCTTGACTATGTGGAGCTAATACTTAAGCTCTCTATTACCATGAGGGTAACACATGTCAACAAATAGTCCGTGTTCTATGGGTCCAGAGTTGCCAATAAAGATTCTTTTTAAACATTCAGAAGCAAATCATCCTAAAGCTATTAATACCTCCCATAAAAAAAATTTGGTATGCTATTTTTTATTATGATCTAAGGTTGGGGTCTCGAATCACGGTGTTTGGGTCCCCTAGTTATGATAGATGATTCTATGCTTCCGGTAACTATCTGGTCGCTTCAGTTTTTTTTTTCATTTGAGTTCTCGACTTCCCACTTCATGGAGCTATTGTATGTAAAGAATGTCATCATCTCGTACTTTTTTTAAAGGCGTGATGATGATGCATGAAAATGATTAAAAAAATGAAAACGATTAAATGCAAAAACTAAAAATAAAAACTCTTTTTTAAGAAAGGTATGCATGAGTATGAAATGCACCTAATGTACAACTCTACCCCTCCCCAAACTTAAAGATAAGCATCATCCCCGATGCTTGGAGAGGTCGGAACAACCTATTGCGGAGGAGGAGGATGATAAGGATAGTAATTGGAGTTTCGGGTCGAAGCCCAAAAGTCCTCCTCATGTTTATGCTGGCGCTCTTGTTCCCAAGTGTATTGAGTGGTGAAAGAAGTGAAACTTTGAGTTAGGTTCACGAGAACTTGATTGTAAGTGTTGAGGCGGGTATGGGTCGTCTGGAATTGATCCATATATTGTTGGTGATAGGATGGGTGCCCAGCCTAATGGGATGAGTTGGCAACACCCCTGGGAGGAGAATTTTGTGGTGCCGCCGCGTCACTCTCGTCACTATCTCCATCTTCCTCTTCTTCCTCCTCGGAGAAGGAACCGGGGAAGAGATACGGTGTGATTTGCTAGTCGGTAAAATTGTTGGCTCACCCGAGGGAAAGGATATCCCGATTTTATGGGATGATGAGGAGTCGTGGATCATGGTTTTGACCCACGGTCAAATTATGGTTCCCGTCCTCCACCCGAAACATTCTCATAGACTCAAGGATTATCGTGGTAAGGTAAGTCTCACCGGGAAGAGGTTGGTGAATTATGGGTTATGGGGCCAGGACTGGAGCGCTTTTGGCAAATTAACTAACAATGCCACCAAAAGATATTTTGTTGGACCATGATGTGCTGAGGGGGTTGAGTTTGTTACATAGGAATGAGCCATAGTGAGGAATGAGATTATCGTCCGGGTGGGCCATAGCATAAGCCCTCGACTATCCATCACACACTCTGAAACCTATCTAATCACCCACTCCCTCTTACGGTTTTTCGGCTTCACATCACCCGCTCCCTCTTACAGTTTGCCTGGGACTCTTGGATGGTATCCAAAATCGGAGTCATTACTGTCATCCTCATACACATGTCTCGAATCGGGGCACTCTCTGCCCGACGACTCAGGGCATCGGCTACCACATTAGCCTTGCCCGGATGATATAGGATCTCGCAGTCATAGTCCTTCACCACATCCAACCACCTCCTCTGGCGCATATTCAGGTTGGGCTGACCCATAAGACACTTCAAGCTCTTGTGGTCCATGTATATGGTACACCGAACCCCATATAAGTAGTGGTGCCAAATTTTGAGGGCGAACACCACATGCCCCAACTTTAGATCATGGGTGGGATATCTCGTCTCACGGGGCTTTAACTGCCTCGATGCGTATGCTATCACTACCCTCTCTTCATTAGCACCGTCCCCAGCCCAGATATAGACGCATCATAATATACCACAAAGTCCTCCATCCCCTTGGGAAGAGCTAACACCGGGGCTTCACACAACTTCTGGTGAAGAGTCTCAAATGACGTCTGTTGCTCGGGACCCCAAGAACTGGACCTCCCGTAACCAGAAATCACACTTGGAGAATTTGGCATAAAGCCTCTCTGATCTCAATACTCCAAGAATTTCTATTAAGTGCTCCTCGTGCTGCTCTTTGGATCTCGAGTACACCAGAATATCGTTGATGAACACGATCACCGATCAATCCAACATAGGCCTACAGACCCGGTTCATGAGATCCATGAACGTCGCCGGTGTGTTGGTGAGTCCAAAAGGCATCACCACAAACACCTAATGCCCATAATGAGTCCTAAAGGTTGTCTTCTGGATATCCTCTTCACGAACACTCATCTTATGATACCTAGACCTCAAATCAATCTTGGAAAACCAAGATGCGCCCTACAATTGATCGAATAGATCGTCGATCCTTAGAAGTGGTTAACGGTTCCTGACCATCAGCTAGTCAACTCCCAGTAATCAATGCACATCTGGTGTGAACCATCCTTTTTCTTGACAAAAAGGATCGGTGCTCCCTAAGGTGAGCTACTCGGTCGGATAAATCCCTTCCCTAACAGCTCCTGAAGCTGTGAGGATAACTCCTGCATCTCTGGTGGCGAAAGGTGATAAGGTGCCTTGGTAATAGGCGCCGCTCCCAGAACCAAATCAATATGGAACTCCACCTACTTCTCGGGAGGCACACTCGGTAACTCCTTGAGAAAAACATCTGGGAATTCCCTCACTATCGGAACCTCGACGATAGAACTTGATCTCTCGGCGGCAACTTGCGTATCCACTTCATATGCTACAAAACCCCTGTAACCCTGCTGTAGACTCTGCCTTGCTCGAAAAGTAGAGCAAAACGCTGATCCAGATCGGGTACCCTCGCCATATACTGTAAGCACTCCTTCACTGGGGTCTCGTATGGTCACCAATTGACGCTCGCAATCGATCACATCTCCGAACCGGCTCAACCAGTCCATACCCACAATGACACAGACGTCACCCATGGTAACATGCACCAGATCAATCAGAAATTCAACACCAGAAATCTTGAGCACACATCCTGGGATCACATCAGTGGCAAACACCGCATGCTCATCGTGTCATAACTAGAGAAATTCTATAGTTACTGGAGTCTAAACTCTACCTAGATAGTTATAAATTCACAATGTAATAGTCTAGGTTAACTATTCTAATTTATGTTGAAATAATAAAAATAGAAATTTATGGAAATGAAAAATAAGATAAAAAATGAAGTATTAAATAAACTCATTTGGGATGAACCAAATGATAGATATTTTAACAAGGTTTCCAAAATATAAAGAAATCCCAAAACCGAGTTAATATGAAGAAGTTTTGACCAATCGAAGATCCGTGACAAATCTGGCACAACACTGTAAGTGTAAAAATATAGTTTTTAAATAAACTACTTTTTAGCCTTAACTATCTAAATGAAAGTCATAGAATACATTAACCTGGCAAAGTCTGTAAAAAGAACGCCCGAAATCTGACTTCGTATGAAGAAGTTATGATTTTTCTAAGTTTCAGAATAGTAGTAGACAACTAAAAACTCAAAATAAAGAGTGTGTGATTTTTAGCAGACACAACCCAAACGAGAATCGAAGGTCTCGTCAATAGTACTACAACGGTAAAAAGACAAACGAAAACGGACTTCAGATGAAAAAGTTCTGAATTTTTAACGGATTTTCTTGTCCCGGTCTGTTAAAAATAATAATATTAAAAATAAAATCAAAATTAGCCGACGAAGTCTAAACGAAAGATGTAGAGTACAACTTTACCTATGTGTGCATATAAAGAACGTAAAAAACGGAGCTCGTATGCGAAAGTTATGAATTTCAGAAGTTTTTGGCTCAAAAACCAAGAAATATATGAGAACAGGATAATTTTGCATGAACAATAACCGGACGTCATCCCACATCAGTAGCCTCCCCGTGTCACCTTCTGATTCGACCAAAGCTGCGATCCAATAGCTAGCCGACACCCTTCGCATGAACAGTAGTCGCCTAACCCCGGATCCGACGCGTGAAGCTCTCCGATTCGACCGAAGTTCGGTCGTCTCCTGATCTGACATGCGCCTCACACCTGGCTCCTTTCGAACCGAGACACATACACACGTCTCCCTTACTTCGGTGCCACTTCGCTTCTAACTCACCCCTTCGGCCGAACCCTCGCACCCTATATAAAGGCTGCGAGATTTCTCGGATTTAACTCCTATCTTTCACCATTTTCCATCCTTTTTCACCCTTTCACTTCTATAACCTTACATACAACCCCCAAAGTCCCGGTAGCATATCTGAAACCTGAGCAAGCCTCGAAGCCCGATGATTCCCGAGAAAAACAACCTTCTCCAATCGAAACTCTGTCTAAACAAAGTCGGTTTTTCTTCAAATAAACTCCTTTCCAGAAAGCGAAACGCTATCCAAATCACCATCTATCAAGTGAGTTCATACCCCCGTATTTACATAGTCTTTATCGTTTTTAGGGGGAAAATACAAGTGAAACACAATAAAATTGTGTTAATATGATAAAAGTTTTCAAATGTTTTTAGTACTTTTAAATTGTTATAATTGATAAAATTACATATTTATATATGTGTAAATTATATAATTTGGATTTAGAAAATTCAGAATATATAATTTGACCCCTTTTCCTATTTTTTGTTTGGTTGTGGCTTGGGGTAAAGTTATTTAACGAAGGTCTAATTAATCACAATTATATAAATATTACATTATATAAATATAAAATAGTTTATAAACTATTTGATAATACATGGGTACAAACAGAGAATTTCATAAAATAATAGTATTACAGATTCTTTCAGTAAAACAAAGAGCTAAACTATAATAGGTATAGTTTAGAGGACTCATTCTTTGATTTCAAGTTTCAAAACACATAAACATAGTATAAAATACAAATAGAGTAAACATATAAAACAATCATCAGAAAACAAATGGAATACTTTATCATGAAGTAAACATATAAACAATCATTAGAAAACAAATGGAATACTTTACTACATATAAAACTATATTTTATATAGTTTATGAAAGTTATCTATTCGTATAGTTATCTTACATATTATCAATATAGCTTTTGTAAGACTCGATTCAATTACTTATTTAAGTACAAAACAAAAGTCTTGAAAATTATAACCAAAGTCTCCTAGAGGGAGGGCGTGACACTCATCTATAGATCTATACGGGAATGATAATCCCGCACCTAAGCTGCTTGCAACAGCTAGGCCGATAGGCTTGGGGTGACAACTGTCGTACCATTTTACAACGCTTGAAGAACGTTGTGTTTCAGGCGAGGCTTAGGTCATCAAGTATCGTTATGATAACTCACAATTTGGTATTGAATAAAAGTAAACTACTTCACATAATTTTATAATAATAAAATTATAAAGGGAAAAATCTTGATATTTACAAATTTGTACAAGTAGAAATACAGGATACTATTTAAATACAGAGAAAATATACTTTCTTATAATTTTATGAGGATTTAAAACTATACTATTTCGGAATACAAATACATATACAACAGAAGATATAGGATTTTATGGGTGAACATATTTACATTTTGAAAAAAACAAATGACATTTTTTTCATAACATACTTATGATCTCACCAACTTAATTGTTGACACTTTTCCAAAAAGCTACTTGAAATGGAACACTCCTTGAAATCGTCTAGCCCTCATATTCACACACTAGTGCACGGTTTCTTGAGCCATGAGATTCTTTTATATGGTGGCTATTCGGGTTACACCATGTAACTCATAACTTTACCTATTCCTTATGCTCCTTGGATTATCCATGGGTCACCCCATGGACTTAGTCCAACATAAGGAAGCTTGGATCACAAGCCCACATATAGAAGAATGAATGATTTACACAATCAACCATATATTTAATTAGTCTCCTTTTGATCACTTAATTAATTCCAAATTAATTCTTGATCAATACTAATCAAATAACCTTATTAATATATTAGAACTTATAATATATTAACCAACCTTAAGTGTTATTTCTCTCATTATAGTCTATCCAAATCCATGTTGCCATCCGACCCAAATGGACCATGCCGGGTCGGGTCAAGTCTCTTCAATTATGGTTATGGACTTAGACATTAATCTAAC